ACTTTTTAGAATCTTGTTACTGAACAATATTTTTTCTGGTGGTAATTTTCTTTTTAAACATATGGGACAAGGAGCGATTAGATAAGGTTACAATTTTGTCTTTTACAAAACCCCAAATGGGACACCAATCTCTTGTAATTATTCTTAGTAATAATCATCAAGAGCTATGGAATATGCTTTTGCCCTTCATCTTCTTAAAAGTACACCTAAACGTCCTGTGCTCATTAAACTGTCTGCTCTTGAAATCTGTCATCAGCAGACAGAGCAAGTTCATTCTGATTACTTTTATCTGTCTCTCATAATAAAAGGGGCAAGATTAGGATTGAATACATCAGAGTGATTCAATGGTGGTTTGTTTTTATTAATTTTTACCAACACTGTTAAATAGAGGCTATAATCAGCTCCTGCATTACCAAGACTCTAGAATCTGAAACTAATTTGTTTTTTCACTGCATTTTCTTTCACTGTTTGAATCTAATGGTACAGCTTAGGCAGGGGGACACACCTGGACTCCTGGGCCTTGTTCACAGACATATCACTATCTTTTGGCATAACGTCTTAGCAAAGTCACGTAAACATCACTTGCTGTTGGATAATAGTATTTTCCAGCAAGCATGCAGTTTTCCACTGCTGTTGTACCATTTATTCCATTCTAGATAGGAAGTTACAAAATTTCTATAGACCACTGGTAATTAACTTATGAAGTACTTTTCCAAGTTTAATTAGAGGTAAAATCCTATTAATTCTTGTTAAAACATGGGTTCTTTAGATGCCAAGCTAAGCTCAATATCTGTTGTCTTACACAAATCTTCTAAGTCTCTTTTAACAATTTCTCCTCCTTTTAAAACTTTGACAGCACAAAAGAAAGCTATCTGAGTTTCTACAGTTTGATTGTACAGTTTTTGCTAGTTTGAAGTTACAACCTTTTAAACTGAGACTGCTCTAACATAAGCTGGGGCATAATTTCACGTTAGGAAAACCTCTGAAAGCTCAAACTGTGTTTCCAGCACAGCCAAATCTTAACATTGAGATAGAAGTACGCATTTTCAAAATGCCATATTTGACTGACTGTTCCACTAGTCAAAACCAGCATTAACTTTTTATCTTATCTGTCTTATTCCTGAGTAAGCACAGGCTAAATTTACTACAAGTATAGCACTTGCTGTTGCCTTTGGAGAAATTAAATGTAAATGCCTTTCTATTTCCCTATGGTTTCTGATTTTGAATGAAGTATACCCAGACCCGCTAATAGGGAGAAGAGCCAAATAAAGGCATGTCACAGAAAAAAAACCACCAAACAGATACAATTAAAGAACCCTGGATAAGAAGTACACAATACACAGTTGCATACCAAATCAATTCTGTTAATAAAGTAAAATCAATCAGCAAAACATAGGAAACTGTCAGGTTTTTGAGACAGAAGAGGAAAAAAGTAAAGAATTTAAGATGCAAGATGTTAGGTTTAGAAGACCTACCTAAACAGTACCATGAACCAATAGAACAAATTCTAGCAAGTACTGTCTCGCATGGCTACTTGAAAATGTGCTATTTATAACATTTAAAAAATGTAAAGTGCACAAATTATAAAATCAAACCTTTTTTGAGATTTTACAATCTATGCCCCAAAACATAAAATATCTAGATAAACACATAATAGGTTAAAACTTCAGTCATAGTCTTAATTATTGACTCTTAATATCAAGAACCCTAAATTTTTAAATGCAATTTATTTATTACTACCTTCTTTGTTGGAATCACGATTTTATATGGTATAATTCAGCCTGCTACTGAGTAGAAGAATTTTTGTTTACCTCCAATATGTAGATTTAAATTTATGAAAAAAAGAGATCAGTCAACTGTATATCTGTTCTTTTTCTTATACCACCTATAATTAATAGCAAAATTAGGAAGCTAAGAAACTGAATTACTGTACACTTTATCAATGAACTATTTATACTTAATTTTCTCCCATTTTTCCCCCCTTTTCCTTTCTGAAACCAGACAATCAATCAGCACATAAAGGAACTCATTTACATGGAACACTATCACACTTGTCTTTGTGGGGCCACCATTTCATGAACATCCCAGGATGTATGGCTGTTAAAGACTGGTGCATATATAGATTTAACAAATAACAGTTCTTATGCAGAGAGCAATCACAGAGAAAAATACCTAATCAGAACACATTACAACATTAAATTTTCACTTTTTATAAATGGAGTAAAGATGCTTTTAAATATATTTACAGTTAGAAAAAAGTACTTAGGATTACTACAAGTCAAAATTATTTAGAAATTATGGAAGTGAAGTTCATTTAAATTATATTATGAACAGAGTAAAATGCAGTATTTTGCTTAGAATTTGTCTACTCTGCTGTCAGTATTGTCATATACCTGTAATCACCAACAGGCAAAAACTTAACTTTGCTTAATGCTAAAACAAGCATCATTGCAATGAAACTCTGGCAACCTAACAGTTCAGTTAAAACCACCACAGCTTTTAAATCCTAGCTGACTTCTGTAGCACCTGTAGTAGAAATTGCTCTTCAATGTCTTGTTCCATAAAGAACAGAGAGACTTTTTGCATTCTTTTTGGTAACCATACTTGTATCATATTTTGAGATTCTTCTCTAGAGACAGTTGAATCATAGTAAAATCCACTCCATCCTTCCTTTCAAACCAAATGGCTACTTAATTCTGAGGATAGTATTTTTGTTGGCAGTGCTAGGTGGTTTATTCACATACACTTAAATAAAAATACATTTCCCATTTACTGACTTACTGGTAATAGATTATTACTTCTTTGCAAGGAATTCTGAAATGTGTTAGCATTCATTACACTTCAAATTAGAAACACATTTCATAAAACTTCTTGCAATGAGATTTACTACCCTTTAACTGCTTAAACAGTTTCAGCTCTTTTGTAATCCATTACATCAGTATATTCTGCAAGTAATCCCATCTAAAAATAAAATATTAAAAACATAAAGTTGAGAAGCATGTATTTTTCTTTTAAAAACTAGTGTATGTTATTCTGAACACTAGCCCGGCCCCAAAAACATGTAAGAACCTTAAAAAGCATTGTTTTACAGATACTAAATTTGGCCAGGTAACAGCAATGAACAGACATCCTACTTAGTAAGATAAAGCAGAATACATAATAAACAAGTCAGTAGTTATCCATCTGAAATAGTCTATAATTAACATTTGATGTCTAAAAAGTTTAAACAGCAACACCAAGGAATGAGGTATGTATGTTCTCAGATATCACATCAGACTCCCATTTTATGCAACTAACTGTATTTCACAACTAGCATCTTACAAAATAGAACAGTACCATTGTGCCTGTAGAAGTACTGCATTAAAAACAGAAAAATACATTACTACAAGAAACCACCAAACATCACAATTGTCAGGGGCTACAAAAATCCATTGTTTTAAGCTGTTCAGAAGACATATCATATGTGGGAAATAATTTGGGGCTGGATTCACTACCAAGAAGGTCCATCCAACTTTCACATAGGCTTAAAAATATACCTACTTTGAATGAAAAAGAAAAGGCTCATGGGAGTGTAAGTGCCCTACATCACTAAAAGGAGCTAAATGGACTTCTGTACTGAACCAGAATACATAATTTAAAATCTACACATTAATTGTATGTATGTATCAAAACACTTATTGGTTGTAAACAAAAATGCAAAATCTGTATTCACAAAAATATTTTATTGGTAATTTTACATAATACCAGATGGTATTGTAAATAGTTTTGCTCTTTATCACTATATTGCTAAGTGCGTAAATGTTGACAGCTTATGCCATAAAGTAGGATACTGAGTCTTTTTCAAATGATTTATGACATAATATATTCTAATAGGCCAATTCAATATAAAAGAAATTGATTCAAGAACAAAAAAAAAATTATTTCCTTATTCTTGTGCAACATCTGATATTCCTGTACTGAAATGATAAGCGACTATGTGACACTAGAAAAATCTGGGGCAAGGAAACAGCAGAAGTGAGAACTGCGGTTCTGTTCTTTTTAAAGCTTTTCCAAACTTTCATATTTCCAAATAGTTTTTGCCAAATGCATCACCATCTGAGGTTCAGTATTTGTTACACAACACAAAATACCAGTGTACAGCGACAATGCAGTACTTTACCTGAATTGCAAGGTTAACTAATCAATGATTAGAATGTGTTTTCTATTTTGCTTGTAAACATTACAATAAGTGTTTTAAGTGTCAAAAAATATTGGTAAAACCATCAACATAATTCAGTAACAGTAATCTAGTAAAATGTGTCAAACATTGGCAAAATTCCATACAAATGTTTTCTTTAATAACATTTTTCCTATTTAACCACACCAAGTACCAGCAGGTGTTTTTAAGAAGATAATTATTATGAAAATTCTGTTGCAGCAATAATTGATTAAGTTGATCTTTGACTTGCATACATATAACTATGTTTCACAATTCTCAAATAATACATATTTAGGCAGCTTGAACTATGTTATAAAAATTTAAATTCAGTACATGCCAATAGTAGAGGCTCCAAGAGTTGTGTTAGAATTCACTAAAGTAAAAGTGAAAATGGGCATACCAATAACACTGCATAATGAACATTCAAACCACATTTTCATGGCACCCTTACACATGTAGATTAAAAAGTTGGTCTGAAGATGCTTCATAAGCATTTGTAGATAGCATTTAAATTCCTATAGATTCATAGAATAAGCTGAGTTGGAAGGGACCCAAAAGGATCATTGAGGTCAAATTCTGGCCCTGCACAAGACAGCCCCAAGAGTCACACCATGTGCCTGACAGCATTGTCCAAATACTTGAACTCTGTCAGGCTGGTGCTGTGACCACTTCCCTGGGGAGCCTGTTCCAGTGCCCAGCCACCCTCTGGGTGAGAAACCTTTTGTGGTATCTAACCTAAACCCCCCCTGACTCAGCTTCATGCTGTTATTGTTTCTACCACTGCACTTTTTTCTTTTTTTTGAATTGCATTATGTTCCAGTCAACATATCAATTATGCATGACTAATCTGTCATGAAAATGTGGTAACAGGTGACAGAACTTATGTATTTGCATGTTTTGAAGAGACTGAAGAAACTGGAAGAAATAAACTTTAATGAGATTCCCCGTTCAGTGATGATGCTTCTCCTCTGGGTGAAGATGACCTGGACATTCCCCTCTCTGTGTTGTCAGAGCTAGAACCACTCTGACTATGTTGATCTGCAGAAGCAGCACTGGAAGCAGGTGGTGACTTAGTTTTCTCCTTAAAGTCTGTAATAATGACTGTCAGATCTCCAACTGTAACTTCCAAATGTTGAGCACTACTTCGATCCACATTTTTCAACCTTGGCCTAAATAAAGCAAATAATCATATTAAAAGCACACACACCATCTTATTATCTTGTCTCCCTCTTACTTTTCAGGAGCTCTGGAGAACAAATGCATATATAAGACTTCTTTTTGCAACACGTAATATGTAGGAAAACAATGTACCAGAAGTATTAATGGGGGAGTGTTTCCTAGTATGTTTTACATTGAAATAGTTGAATATAACACATTACCATCGCCTAAAACTATTTAGAAGTTGATATTTTGAATAATGTCACTGTGCAGCAATGTCTATGTGCTGCATATGTGAAGGTTATCACTTTTAAAACCCACAACTTTCTTTATTTTGACTACACAAAGTTATGAATTTGATCCAGGGAAACATCCATCTCTGCAGCAGCCTGAAGCAACAATTCTAAATAGAAAATTATACTCAGTAATGAAGATGTTGGTGTCTGTCTTTTGAATTCAACAGCATAGACAGTGTTAACTTGCAGCAGGTGTTACCTCATTTCAAAACCTCACTAGGACCACTAGTAAACTATTTGAATTGGACTTTGTGTTCACAGTAGAACTCTGGTATTCCTGGCATGGGCTCTGCTTTAAATTATGCAGAGATAAATGTTACATACAGTGTTGACAGAATAAGTCTCTTCATTCAATCTTTCAATTGTTTGATTTTTCCCAACAAAAAGAACTAAAGAGTATTTTGACTTATATTTTGCAATCATATTTTTGCTACTGACATGCATAAAGTACTTTCAATTTAGTCCTTTCCCACAATCACCATGAAAAACTGGTACCAGAAAGCTGAATTCATACAAGCAGTTATGAACAGCACAGTTTGTGCATTTAACTGACTCCACAGCTAGCACTGGCTCAAGCTGCAATAAAATAAGGACATCACGTTTGCAGATGTGATAACAGCAAAGCTCTAACCTTTACCCTATCATCAACTTTGAAGCAGAATTGTTCCAATTCACTTCAGCTGAAACAACTCGTGCCTTTTCTCCGCTAGGACTGAGATGGGCTTTGACATCATGCTCCCCTGAGGCTGAAGCAGCATGACTGAAGCATCTCAGAAAAAAATAAAAATCTGCTGATCTGCATCATGGGAATAGAGAGAAAAACTTCAGAATTATCACCTCGTGCAAGTGTTGTGTACCTGAAGCTTATTAATTATATTGAGTGTGCATGAAGATTTTTAGAATTGTTTCCAGCAGTAATATACACATTTTAAAGCAAAAAGTAAAGGAGATCAATTTCTCAAAGAATACTGAAGAAATCTGCCTAAAGTAATCAGGCATCAGGTACTATGATACCTAGTGAAATAATTCTTGGAAAAAATTAACTGTTTGAAGCATTAAAAAAAAATTCTTAATGCAATTCTGGTATTTTGGTCCAAGATTTTATTTTAGTTACTTTTCAAATTTCCTTACTCTTTCCCTATCTCACATTTTGCATTTTTACTGTATTATTGTAATTTACCCATTAATATTTCAATTTGTAATTTTTAATTGGCTTAACTAAAGCTCACTATGCTAACATCAAATGTTTCATAACTGAAGTACTTCAGCTGCATACAGTAAGCTTGTAAATTTGAGTATTTAAAAAAGAAAAAAAAGGAAAGGAAACAACACTTCAATGTCCTTAATCCTAACCATGACTTTCCTAATGACTGCATGACTGCTCTCTACTGACTCTCAGTCCCTCCACTGCTCTGATCCTAATGATCCTATTTCAGGACAACAGAAGCATCTGCTACTTCTCTGTATAACTAATCCCAAAGGACATTTCTTGGCTGAGCTATTTTGGAGTGCTTCCAAAAAAAGAAAAAAATAAATCAATACTTCCTCCTATATTTGCTTAGACTACATGTCTTATACACTTCTCAGTTTTTTTTGACACAGCATTCTTGCCACAGTAACTTTACGCTTAGATTACAAAGAATTAGGGGTTAAACCTGCTGCTTTTGTTTTGCAGTTTGCACCCTCCTTCCTTACAGCAAGATCAAGGCTCTTACAACTGCTTGTCTGTACTGCAATATTTCATGTTTTCAGTTTAAGAGTCCTTCAGCATCCCAGATGTGGCAGAGATACTTCTATCACTAAGTAATACATATACCTTATCTTGTCACATTAATTTATATGGGCCCTAGTTCAGCCCTTCAAAGCTGAAGCATTTTACAAGGCTATCAATAATTAAGTTATTTTCCCTACTCATCTGCAGTCTGGTACTGGTTCTCTCTTGTTCCACTACTATTTTGCATGAAAACTAATCACTCCCATCCCCTCTTTTTTCCAAGAGATTGATATCATCAATTTGCCTATCAACAGTTTTGTATGCTATGAAAAATACTTCAATAAACCCTTAAAAGAATATCCTAAATAACTCTTAAATGAAAAATCTTTCTTTTTTTCTTTCTTTCTCTATTCAGCTGATCTCCATCTTCTGGCCACAACTACACACTGCAGGTCTTCTTCATATTTTATAGACAGCCTAAACCAATAAAAATGCCCACCAATATATAACCTGTTTGCCACAGCACTTATAAAGCAGTAAAATCAAAGAACATTTTCTTATTTTTGTTTGCAAATTACATTTTACCAATACTGCAAAAGTTTCTAAATTTTTTACCTGGTTTTCTTATGACTGTTCTTTTTGCTTGTTGCTTCCTTTTCACTTTTTTCCTTTTCTACTTTGTCTTTTTTCTCTTTCTTTGATTGTGTAGGGGGCACAAATTGCTGAGGAACCTGTTGTGCAACCAGCTGAGAGACAGGTCGAGGTTTCCTGTGTGCACATATATATAGACATGTATAATGCTTAGACTTTGCAAGTTTCAAACTATCTACACTTGAATTAACATTAACCATCGTTGTAAGAAGACATATTGTTCAAACGTATCTTGCTGTGAATACTTCATTAAGATAGCATATAAAATTTAAACCCATTACAGCCTTTTGTTTCACTTACTTGCCTTATCAACAAATGAGATTCCTTTTTTTGTTTTACAGGATTTAGAGACCATATTTGCAATGTGCCCTCTTCTTGCATCTGTCATATCCAGACAGAGCTCAGAGTGAGCTCCAAAAGACAATTCTTACAGAAGTTACTTTACCATCCACTCTCAGCCCCTTCAAATGCTGAAATGGTCTGGTTTGATTCTATTCCAATACAGAAGTAGACAATCCATATCACAAAAACAAAAAAGCTGACCTTTGAGGTATCAGAGCTAAAGCCATTGTTGGCCTTACAGAATAAAACTTAAGTGTTTTCAGCTCAATCAAATTTATTGGAGGCAATAATAAATCCAGTTGTGTATCATTTTTATCATATTGTACACTGCTAATTAATATTAGTAGGATATAGCTGTCAGAATACATATACTTTGGAAGCTGGCAAGAGAAACATAAGACCACATTCCATCAGTATACACAGTGCAGGTTTAATTTCCAAGTTTAATCCAAACTAAAAACCAGTGTGAGAAGAGCAATGGCAGGCAAAACAATGTCAACAGTTGATTATTTTTATATTTTCCAAAATATTATTTTGAAATAGATTAAATTTTTATTCTGTTTTGTACTGGAATACAATGAACCTAGTTTGAAATGAAACATTATATTCATTCCATTGCAAGTTTATTTACTTGTTCTACAGTTTTGTAACTAGGAAATTTCAAGTCATAGTATATAGAAAAGTTTCTGTTATTAAGACTTTGAAGATATAAATTTCTTCTCCAAAAGAATGCTTACCATGCCAAGCTCTGGGTTATAGTTAGTTGGATTGTGATGTTAGGTTTTTTTAAAATAGAAAAAGCACAAATTATATGCACTGTGATACTCTGAAAATACAAAACCATTATTAAAGCAACAGAAGCTATCAGCTCACACACATACTTATTTATCCCAACCCACAGGATCACACTACTGGCTCTTCTTGCTTGGGTGAAGAGTTGAGAAAAATAACAAATGCAGGAAATCAAGGCAGCTCCCATTAACAAGCTATATTTTCAGTAATGACTGCAATAGTTCAAGTTACAGAGTGAAAGCCAAATTACAAGAATTCATAAAGTGTGGGAAAGACAATTAATATAAATCAGCTGAGATTTCATGAGTCTTCACAGTAAGTTCTTAATGAATTAAAATAAATTAAAAGAAAGACTATGAATAAATGATCAACACGATAGAACTTAGGGATAAAAACTAGACTACCGCTTACCTGTGCATGAACTGAGCCTACACTGACTCACGGAGGGACAAAGAGCAGGAACAAATCCCTTTAGTGAAAACTACCCAGCTTATAGAACTAGGACCTTGCAAAGCACACACTGTATTGAGCCCACTGTGAACAACTCAAATGGACTCAATGGACTACAAAGGTGTAGGTTAACAGAGTACAAAAAAACATTTTTAAGCAAACTTGTTTCAGAATTTTGCCACAGTAAGAACCACCAAGGTGTAATTGATGCACGACCTTATAATTTCAGGTGGAAAACAGTTGTGATATATGAAGAAAACTGATGATCTGTCTTGAAGATTGCTCCAGGAGACAGGGATACAGTTTTTCATAACAGTCAAGTGACAATCCCATCATTGCTACACAGTGACCTGAATGATCGGACATGTTACTTATGAACTAAGACACTAGTGAACTTGACACACAATGAATTGTTTCCCAGGAGTGTGGACAACACCATGATTATGGAAACTTGTTAAAAAGGGGTAGAGAGCGGAAAAAAACAAATCTTAGCCAAGTAAGTTTTCAATTTTTAACAGTTTCAGTTCCTGAGGGCAAACTAAATAATTTCTATTAAAGTACAGCTGGGAAATTAAACTTCGTTCTAAGTCCTAGGCTTAGAACTTTTTTCCTAATAACATAAAACAAATGAGACTGAAAAAATAATCCTTTTAACGAGGAACAGAAGTCAGTAAAGACAAAAAAAAAAAAAAAAACCCACAGAAATCATATTTTGGAAGATGCACTAAAAATTAATCAAGAGGTTATATGTGGCTTTGCTATGACAAGATATTCCTTCCATTAAACGGTCATCTTTTTTGTTGTCAATTTTTTCTATAACTATCAGTTATATCTCTGTTCTAAATTTTATTATCTGCTTTCTCATGTCCCGATTTATTAAATGAGGCATTCAAGGTTGCTATATTAAAAACATTGAAAAAAATGTAATTCATCTCTCAACACTAGGAATGCCTTCCAAGTGCTCAATTTTTATCCCTAGGTACTCAAAAGGAACTAATGAACTGCAACCAAGCACTTCACAAGCCATGCAGGTGTCAGGAGATAACTCTACTACACTCATGAAGCTTGAACCTGATAGAATTGTTCCTGCTTAGTAGTAGCTGAATCATGTCATTCAAGCATGAATAAATTCACAGAGAAAAGGCTATTTCAGAGAAGATAAGAGAAACTATCCCTGTAACAGGGAATTGATTTTGACAATTTGCCAAAATGCAACATTTTAAATTATTCATTTTCAAAACCAGTTAAAGACTCCTTGTAATACGCTACTACAGATTAAGTAGATATGATGTTAACACCCCTTTTTGTTTATATTTATGGTAATTTGCTCTTTAAGAATATTCAAGAGTACCTGAGCTAACTGGTGTTTAGAAAGTAGCTCTATAATCTTCTGCATTAGGATTACAAGCATTTTTGCCTCTATCACTGGACCACTATTGGACCACCACAACTGAATAATCCAGAACTACAAGCAGAAATGTTCATAAAAACAATACCTATTATTTAACCAGCCCCTAAAAACTTTGTGCTTTTTACCTAGTAATTCCACTTTAGTCATTTGAAGAAGAACACTGAGAAAGGTATACACTATTACAGAAGAAAAGAGCTAGCAATTCTTTCCAGAGGTGAACTTTATGGTTTAAGCACTGTAGACATACCAAAAAACTGATTTACTGATCTTCCATGAGATCTCTAAACATCATATCTCTGAATATTACACCTTTCCTTCTCTACTACCTAGTTTTCCTTTTCAGACAGCGTTATCTTTCTTCGAAGTTGACTTCAGCCGTACATCTACCTTCATTTCTATTCCAAACTCATCCATTAGTTTTATTAATTATCCAATTCCAATGTTGTTTTCAAGGTCCTACTTGATAGGCACTTCATAGGCTCCTTTAAAAAATTAGGAAAACTAACATTTTTGGTCTTTAAATAGCCAACAGTCATTAAGACAAACATAAAAAGATAAATTTTCCGTCTTCCCTAAAATTGCCATAAATGCTCAAAAACAAGGAAGTCATCATTTTAACTCTAGTCTTCTTGCTGCAGGGTGTGACTACATTTTATCTTATCAGGTTTGACCTAGCTGCTGGTTTAGAAAGCATATTTATAGAGACTGCAGCAACTTGTCTTTGCTTTAGCACCTGTGTGCAGAAACTCATTCAGTACTGACATACTCGAAGAAAATATTTAATACTGCAAACGGTGGACTGGCTTTCATTGTCGACATTCTTTAAAAAAAAAAAAAATCTTTACAGCACAGCAATTTACATGTGTAGAGATGAAAAATATTCAAGAAGACCACATAATATCTGGAACTGTTTCCCTGAGTCATTTCCATGACCCAGAGCTCAACACAATACCTTCCTGCCCATAAATAATTTTGGATGTCTCACAGCAGTACATTCTTCCTTGATTTCCCTCACCTAGTATTCACCAATAACCTATGTTAATAGTATTTTGATCAATTTGATACAATGAATAACTTGGTCTCATTACAGCAAAGCAGATCCATTTTGAGAACCAAAATAAAAAATATCTATACAATATCGATGACCAACACATAAACCAGAGATACTGTAAACTCTCAGTTACCCGAGTTGTCCATCAAACAAGCAGACAATCAAACTGGCTTAATGCTGAAGCATCTTGGTGTTTAGCTGAATTTACTTTATATAGAGCACAATTACATTTGCACAGTGCTGCTTCTGCAGCCATCACAATCACAAGTCTGTAAAGCATTTAATGTCTTCTGCACCACCCAGAGGATAAGCTCCATTCCAATAGGCCTGAACTACTTATCTGTCAATCAGCTTTAGGGTTCATCTGCTACAGTCTGGAAACAAGGAGCATGATGGGGCCAACTGTGACAGTTTTTCCATGAACCAACCCCAAATCTACTACATCTCAAGAGAGTCCTGCATTAGCATGAGGCATTCCTGCATGTAAAGTTGGGAGCAGATTTGTCCATTTGGTGCCACATACCCTGAATGGCCAGAGCCACACAAGTGTGCCAAGCAGCACACAGTGCCACCAGGTGAGACTGCTGAAAGCACAGTGAAGAGACATCAACAGTTCAACAGAGCAGACAACACATTAACTTCGATTAAGTGGAAGCCATCCAGGACTTGAAGTGGTCCACATAGAACCAGTACCCATATCCGCCCAAATATGCACAGATCTCAGAACAAAACTTATACTTTTCTATACAGAAATCTAGATGCTATAATTAAATCTCAGTGCTTTTTCCAACCTGTTGAGGGAAGTGTATTGTCATTTATAATGTGCAGTTTAGAGGCTTCAGACATCCTGAAGAACGGGCAACTTACTCATTCCTGAAGCTCTGTGCCTTTGAGTATCTCCTGTTTTGTGTATTTTACTACTACAGAAATATTAAAATTAGTTTCCCAATTGAAACAAAATGGGTCTAGATTAAGGAAATGCTGTCACACCTCAGCATTCAACCAAGCTGAAAGATGTTCTTCAACAGATCCAGAGTATCAGTCAAGCAGAGCTTCCATTTTAATATGACC